CATGGGGCTAGATCTTGAAGTCTTAAAATATTGACACTCTATTCAGTTGTCAATCTGCTACCAAAGCAAGCCCTCAGCATTTCTTTAAACTGTTAACAAGTCTAGTAAGATTTTAGGATTCTACCTTTCACATATGAGGATATTTTAAAGAGGTCCTTGCTATGCTAACTTCATGGAAAACCATTATTATTATCTTTTATATTTTTAAAGAGTTTTTTGAAAATAACATTTACATCAGTTTTTAAACAATTAAATCTATAACCCAAAGGAATGAAAGAAGAGTTCATTTTTCTAACAATATTTCTGATCCAATGAATTATCAAATTAATGGTTATACACATTATATACAAATTATACTCATTACAAATCACATAGCTGGGGTAACTTGGCTCAAAACCACATAGCTAACAAGTTGGTTGATATAGAAAAATTAATAATAATAACAATAACAATAATAATACATTTCACTTAAAATGAGACCAGAATAAATTCAATTTACACCTGGATACATTTGGCAAATGGTATCATATAGAACTTCAATTTATAATTTCAATTATTTAGTATTATGTTTCACCAAGGCCTGTTTATTACACACATTTCATATTATGGAATTCATTATGTCCAGCTAATCCACTACAAAAGATTTTTTAAAAGAGACAGTAATCTACCCCAATTATCATACTTAGGAACCTATCACTTATTAAATTTCTCTTCACCCTCTACAAATTTGTCTAGTGACCTTCAATTTAATTTTCATTCTCCATCTTTCTACTTAAACAAATCCAAAATTTCCTCACAGCCTCTCAACATGCTTATACCATCTGAAGCTGGCACACAGACATGCAGAGCAAACCAGGACAGGAGGGGCGTAGAGCTGTTTCCTGCCTGCTGTGTGCACAGTGTGTACCTCATTTGTCCCTACACGTTATTATCTACCCTCCATATTTTCCCTCCAGTCTTTATTTCTCTTTCCAAATCTTCCAAACCCATTATTCAAACTACACAATTTCCTTTACATTTCAACCATATCCCAGACAGCAGTCATTCTACTGAATATTTTCCTTCATAATTTTAGCACATACTGTTGTTAAACCTCCCAAGTGTATAGTTCATTTCAACCCAGGTGATTTTCTTCATTAATTTTCCTATCACAATTATAACCTGCTGCTTGATTAGCTGCAATTCAGGTGTTATCTACAAGACCAAAGAGCTCTAAACCTCTCACATTCTCCCAAAAGGAAGGCAGAATCTGTTTTGCCTACTCCTAGTCCCAGAAGAAGTTTGTGGGACAGATACCCATTAAGATACTTTTTAGCAGTTAGAAAACCTTTTAAAGAGGCCTGCTGAAGCCCAGGAGTGGGGTTCCTGGATTCTTTCAACCTGGTTAACAGCTTCTGTTGTCTACAGAGATCAACTCAGAGCAGTTTTCCAGATTAAATCATACTTACTTCTTATTCTTGCTTAGTCTTCTTTTTTTTTTCCCACAATCTGGAGAGAATACTTAATAATTCATAAGTCAAGATAGTTGCATTTTTCTCACCATTTTAACCAACATTATTTATACAATGGTAATATATATTTGAAATATAAATTGCTGAAATTCTAAAGTTATTGCATTCAAGACTATGATAGAAAAATCTTCATCAAAGTGAGCCTTTAAAGTACAAAACTTATTTTTACAGTTTTAAATACATTGGTTTGATTGGGGTGGGCAATTTGTAGGGAACAGAATACCATCAGAGAGCAGGCTAAGAGATCTTGTCCCTAATAGCTCACAGGTGGATTTTTAGGGATAAGAAGGAAAGAGGAAGTTAACTTACCCAATAACTGGTGGCTCTCTGACTCTGATTTCCACACTCAGCTTCAGTTAGTCAGTTTGGACTTCTTCTACTTGGATAATTTATCAATAGAAAAATTAGTTATCCAATTTAGATTCTATGAGTTGCATGGTCAGGGACCTTATCTCTCAGCATGTTAGAGCTGAAGATAACCCCTGGTCCCCCAAAACCAAACCACACCAAATCCCCCAAAAGTGATGGTGGGGGGTGTGTGTAACTCACAGAAGTGTTCAAAAAGAAAAATTCCTTCTCTGATTCCACTTGGAAATCTGCAAATTCTTCTAGATTGAGTAAAAGGTACACTTCCCTGTCTGTCCCTGAGTTTGGCCACAATCAAAAGACAAAAGAGATTTTTAAAAATACTATTTTTTTCCTTTAAACTTTAAATATCAACAACAAAAGGAATGCCTTCAGGCAAAGGCTTCCTGCAAACATGCAGAGACAAAAAGTCACAAAACACAAATGCAGAGCCAAGTGAGCCTTAACGACCAGAAATTAAAGTTTAGAAAGAATTACATCCTGGCTTATCTTGTTTGTTGCCTACCTCTATCATTCACCTTGGTAACACAGGAGCTCCTGAGCTCCAGCTTCTAGGAGGTTCACTCTTGTTCTGGGCAGACGAAAAGACAGCAGCAGAGACATAAGGGGTTAAATTACTTTATTCTTCTTAGTCACTCTTAAGAAGCCAGCAAGAATTGGAGTAGGAACTGCAGCTCCTACAGCATCCCCTAATTTCTTTTCTGGCAGGGGCTGGAGAGAATGGGGCACCAACCTCTATAGCATGCCCCCTAAACCTTGATAGCAGAAGGTCAAGGCAAGCACAGCTTTCAGCAGGCACATTCCACAAATCTGCAAATCCGCACTTACTGACCAATGCTCACTTGATTTGTAGAGGAACACACAAAGAAGGTATTTCGCCAACAGTAGGCTCGTAAGTTTTCATTCACTTTAGCAATATCATGGTGACTCAGCATAGGACAGGTGCAGTGGGCTATTTACCAGCTAAACTCAAATGTTTATATGTTCTTGGTTACATAATGACATGCAAATGCAATGAGCTTGTTTATAGGCTACGATCCTGTGAACTAGCAGATTGTTTATGGCCTTGAATCCTGGGAATGAGTATCTTAAAAAGGAAAACAAATCCACTTACTTACAACCTCCCTTACCTAGCTTCTTACTCTGCTTAAGGCAATTGCTTTTTCACTCAAAATAGAACTTTATTTACTTTCTCTACTTTAAGGAGATCCTTACACTCAGCTTAATCTGACAGAAATCTACTATCTGATATGTAACCCCAAAGACTTGAAAGCAAGGATTGTAACTAAAGATCCTCTCACAGCTCAATAGCCCAGATTTCTTTGGAAATCCTACATTGATGGCATTTCGTGGTTCACTGCAAGCAAAATGGAGTTTGTGGACCAAATTTCAGAATACCCCGAATTTCCCAGGTGGCCCTCAGACTGTATACAAAGTTTTTCCTTTTATCTCCATTCAGTCCACTTCAGGAGATCTCTTTCAAAAAGGACACATTGTATTGATACGCCCCCCACTGGGACAGTGAAAAATCAGAGGGCTGCAGCACAAAGAAAACAACACACTGAAAACATACAGTGAACATATAAACTTACCCAGACAAGATCTAATTGCTGGTAATAGAGAGAGAGAGTCAAGTCACAGCCAGAGTCCTAACAGAAAGTTCCCCTTTGTGGACAATTTCTCACTTGGGCCCAAAAAGATATAGAGGAGTTTTCTGATAAGAATCTGGGGTGCACAGCTCTGATCTCTTCCATGTTCACCAAACTGGAACAAATGAATAGCCTGAGATACAGAGTTTCTTGGTAATTAGTCATCAGTTTGTTAATTAGGCTAGCTGATAATAAATTGAATTGATGGTCATTGGTTTAACTTGGTAACCAAAGACACCTAATGGAGATGCTGAATGCCTCAAATATTTTTAGAAAGGGGAATGCCCTTGGCAGAAGCAATCAATCCTGATTGGTGAACAATTAATGAGAGGGTGGACATATTCAGGAGGAAGTGGGCTAAAGTCTTCAGTTCTGCTGCTGAGGGTGTGGCTTGACCAAGAGGGTCAGCCATCTCCACCAATCCCAGACAAAGGAATCCATCTCTACCCAGACCACTGTGGTTGGTTTTATCCTTCATGATCTGGGTTTCCCTAGACTCCAATGGAGAGGTGTCGAGGTTTGGGCTTAATGCTTTAAGGCTGGAATTTATCTAGGTTAGATTCTGTTTATACTATAAACAAAAGTAAGGTCTCCTAGTTGGGTGGGGTCCAGCCCAACATCCAGTAGCAAGTACCCTGAGGATTAGGCTGATCTCATCTATCAGCCTGTCCTTCAGAGACTGGCTGAATGTTCTGCTGGGACTGGTCTCTGAAAAAGGGAATAGAAAGGAAAAAACCTCAATCCTAATTGAATAATTGGTTATTAACATAATAGAAAATTACACACCTTCCAAACTTCCCTACTACAGTCTAGGGTGCCACCATGTTCCTGGTCTCCCTGGCTCACAACCTGGATATCATCTTCAAATTCTCATCATCTCTCACCTCCATAGCCAATCTGTTGCTAACACCTGCAGATTTTACCTTAGCAACATTTCTGGAATATGCCCCCTTCTCTCCCCTGATACTACCTACCACCCACCACGGTGGGGGCCTTCACCTCCTCTTGCCTCAACTATTGCAATACAGTTGAACAAGACATTCCCTCCCTCTGCTTGGGGCATTTTTAGTGGTGGTACCCATTCCTGCAATGCTCTTCCTCCTATCTCTACCTCCTGGCTTCCTTCAAGGAGTCCTAGCTAAAATCTCACCTTCTACAGGAAGCCTTTTTCCCAATTCCTCTTAATTCTAGTATTTCCCCTCTGTTGATGATTTCATTTTTTTTCCTGTAGAAAGTCCTATTAGTTCATAGTTTTCAGATTGTTTTGTTCAGGTTAATATTGTGAGCTTCTTAAGGGCAGGTGCCATCTTCTGTCTTTCTTTGCACACCCAGCACTTAGTATGTGGCACATAGTTGGTGTTTAATAAACAGTTATTGACTGATTAGAATAAGAAAATAAACATGCTTAAATTTCCATGTTAAATTTGTGATGATGAATATTTACTTTCCTTCTATTTTATTTATTTTACTTTTTCCTTTACTTTATAAAACACACTATATTTAAACAACCTGTTGATGTTTTATCTGCTGCAATATTTTCTCTGGATTCATTCCTGGTTGAGAAAAGAAAATAAGGAGGAAAAAGAACAAAAGATTTCCTATTGTAATGCAGAATGATACTTAAACATTATACAAAAATTCAAAAATTTAAGATTTTAATTTATTTTAATTTAAAATTTAAAATGAAGCACAAAAAACTTATCCTAGGATTAAGTTGTGATATACCACTTGTTGTGGTGAATTGTGAATACCACATGTTTCTCAGTGCATGTTATGAAGGGGGGAGAGGTAGAAACAGGATAGCTTTTCTAGTATTATGTGTGTCTGTATGGGCATTTGAGTGTGTCTTGATATGTATATGTACTGTGTCTTTCAATATAGAGAACTTGTAGCATTCTATTACTCCTATTTTTCTCTAAAAGTTGAGATCAACTCCAAGAACCCAAAGCACCTCTGGGAACATTATCTCCTTACTGACCTGAGGAAGATGTATGTCTGGATTCTATAACTAGGAATGGCTTATTTTCCAGTCAAACAAATCAATACGATAGCTCTGTGGCTGCAAAGCCAATGAATACCAACAAATACTAAAAACTATATTAACATGCCATAAATAAATATGAAAATACCTTTTTGCAACTGACATTTTAGATTTCTCTTTTTGTTCTTTTTTCTGTCTTTTGAATATCCTCTGGAAATATCTGAAATTCATAGTGAGTTATTAAGGATTTATTTTAGTGCACATTCTCGGCTCTGTGTAAAATATAATCAAACTATGTATCAACGTTAGACGTAAGAGCCTGACTAGACTTAAGAAAAACAAGCTAAGATTGGAAGCCCAGAGGTTAAAAATGTTTGTGTGTTGTGGGGGCAGGGGATGGGGATGGGGCTGTGGGAGTTGGGGGAGAGAAAAAGAGGGATGGGGAGAGAGACACAGACATACAGAAAGAGGGAGGGAAGGAGAGAGACAGAAGGAGGGAGGAAGGCAAAAAGAGGGAGGAAGAGAAGCAGAAAGAAAGGAGGGAGAGAGACAGAGAGAACATGAGAAAGAACCTGAATACCTAAGAATCATTCCATGACTAAGAGGGCTCGGCTCTAAGACAAAGACTTAATGGTTAAGGCTGTACAAGTGACAATACAGTCAAAACCAAGTAAGTAAGAATTTTGTTATTAATATATAAAGAACTTACTGGAAGAATGAAAACATTCTTCTCCTCCTTTGAGTCTTTTGTTCTTGCATAGAATTGTCTCGATGTGTTTCTTTTATCCACTCTAGGAGTAAGAATAATTTCATGAGTGAAATACTAAAAATGTCCTAATGGTGTTAGCAAGAGATACCAGCCATGTGGAGCTGGCTTCTACCATGGACAAACACTGAGGTGGAGAAGTCATGTCCCTCTAGTGGGAGCCTGGAGAACTGAAGTCTCAGGGGGGTGACCAGCTAGCTGAGAACCCTTCTGTGGGACTTCTTTTCCACCCCTACACATTAAGGGGGAGGGGAGCTGAACTATTTGTTGTACAACAATCCTATTAATACTGCCCATCTATGATCAGTCCTTAAGGTAACAAATTTGCCCTCTCCAGGGGCAGTTTAACACCAATAAAGTGTGATTTGAAGAACTGCAAAACTATTCAGGCAGCACAAATTCAAACAGCCTAATCTCAGTCTAACAGTGTAATTATGATGCAGAGCAAAAGTAACATCAAAATGCTAGCCAGGGAGGTGCTTCATTTCTGTACAGACTGTTCCTTAAACACCAGTGTTTGCTCTTTTAGGCTCTAGTCTTATAAGACTAGGCTCACTTGCCCAGCTAATTAATCTCTTAGATAAAACTAAATGATCCTCCAAGAATGTTCTGGAATTGACAATACCAAGCAAGAGGGCAAGTTATGTTAATGGCACTCAGGATAGAATCAGTTTCATAAAACACCTTCTATACAGGTTATCTATCAAATAATAGGGATAGAAGGTGTGTCCCATTTACATACCAATAAATATGTATCCCAAATGACATTCAACTAAAAATCATCCTAATGAAATTTATTCTTTCCAAGGTCCTGGCTTCAAATGTAGCCAGATGGCCTAATGGATAGAACACTGATGTTGGAGTCAGGATTACCTAAGTTCAAATCCAGCCTTAGACACTTAACCAGCTGTGTGTGAGTCACCTCACTTCTCTCAGGCTGTTCCACATCTATAAAATTGGGATAAGAATAGTACTAGGGTTATTTTGAGAATCTAGGGAAGATAACTCATGTAACACTGTTAGTGAACCTTAAAGCTCTACATAAAATATTAGCTGTGATTACTATCTGAGATTTTTATACCACTTTACCTCTCCAAAAGGATTATTAATTCTGATGAGTAATAAGTCAAATACAGTTAATTCCCAAATAAAAAGGGGCTAAAGTTAAACCTTCTATATCATTGGTTTCTAACTCAGGTTGTATTTCCCCCCATTGAATTAAAATCAGTTCAACACACACACACACACACACACATATATATATATAAAACAAATATTCTGTCAGGGGTGTTAAGGAAAGATGAATGAAGACATAGCCATCGCCCTCAAGTAGCTTGCATTGACTTGTACAATTCTATGAATAACAGTTTCTCTGAGTATTTATACACAAATCTATTTAAATCCATCATGGAGCTGACCATGAGTTCTCAGAGTACCACAGTACCAAGAGAAAAAGGAAGGGTGAAGGTGACAGTCCCACTATAAATATTTTTGGGGGGAGATTAACGTTAAAAATGGATAGAAAAATTAGTATAGAAGTAACTCTACTATCAGCTGCAGGGAGTAGCTCCCTTGGTATGGGACTAGAGTAGCCTTTGGAAGTTCCAATGCAGGGATTGTACTTGCTAAACATTCCTGAGTCAGAGACTATGATTATTTATTTATAGGGGGAGTTCCTCAAAATATATAATTTTAAAAACATTCTTTAGATTAGGCTGCAGTTAGTAAAAATCTGCTTCACTAAAATAGGTTTAAAGGTAGAGCCAATATGGCAGAGTAAAGGAAGGGACTCGCCTGAGCTCTCCCCCAATCCCTTCCAAATACTTTTAAAAATGACTCTAGACAAATTCTAGAGCAACAGAACTCACAAAAAGATGGAGTGAAACAAATTTCCAGCCCAAGACAACTTGGAAGCTCAGCAGGAAAGGTCTGTTGCACCTGGGTGAGAACACAGTCCAGCTTAGGCTGTGCTAGCACAGCCCCAGCCCTAGCAAACCAGGAGCAGGCCCTCGAGAGACTGAATCAGCAGAGGAATCAGCAGTGACTGCTTCTGGAGCTTCCAGCCCACAGACAGTAAGGGTGTCGAACAACTGGCCAGAAGGAGATTTTACAAGGGGTCTTTCTGCTAGCACTGAGGCAGGACTTTGTTGCTTTGCCCATACTCAGATCCAGGTTGCAGTCCTGGGTGGCATTCCCAGGGAGAGGAGGAGCACTAGGCATAGCAGAGCTTGTGGCAGGAGTAGAGGGTTACTCTGGTCACAGATCCAGGGAAGAAAACAGTGTTCGTGTTCACTCACAGAGCAGAGCACAGGCCAGGAGAATAGTAAACAACTCTCCTTAGATCATACCACCTTGGAAGAACTGAAAACTTACAGGTCCCTAGAAGTATCTCTGAAATCAATTGCACAAAAACCCTGAAGCTCCCTGGGACACTGCATCCTCCACCCTGGAAGCAGAGCTCTACTTTATCAAAGGAGTCAACTAACAGACTGGGGAAATGACCAAACAATGGGGAAAAAAAACTCTGACTATGGAGAGTTACTATGGTGACAAAGAAGATCAAAACACACACTCAGAAGAAGACAACAAAGTCAAAGCTCCTACATCTCTAAAGCCTCTAAGAAAAATATGATTTGGTCTCAGGCCATGGAAGAGCTCAAAAAGGATTTTGAGAAGCAAGTAAGAGAAGTAGAGGAAAAACTGAGAGTGATGCAAGAAAATCATGAAAAACAAGTCAACAGCTTGCTAAAGGAGACCCAACAAAATAATGAAGAAAATAACACCTTAAAAAATAGCCTAACCCAAATGGCAAAAGAGGTCCAAAAAGTCAATAAGGAGAAGAATGCCTTAAAAAGCAAAAATGGCCAAATGAAAAAGAAGGTCCAAAAGCTCACTGAAGAAAATAATTCCCTAAAAATTAGAATGGAGGAAATGGAATCTGATGACTTTATGAGAAATCAAGAAACACTAAAACAAAACCAAAAGAATGAAAAAAGTAGAAACTGTGAAATATCTCATTGGAAAAACAACTGACCTGGAAAACAGATCCAGGAGAGATAACTTAAAAATTACTGGACTACATAAAAGCCATGATCAAAAAAAGAGCCTAGTTTTTTGGCCTTTTGGCTTTCAGAGTGGGATCATGGCTGTGGGAAAGAACAAGCACCTCAACAAGGTGGCAAAAAGGAGCCAAGAAGAAAGTGGTTGATCCATTTTCAAAGAAAGATTGATATGATGTAAAAGCACCAGTTATGTTCAACATTCACAATACTGGCAAGACACTGGTTACAGGGACCCAAGGAAAAAAATTTCCTCTGAAGGTCTCAAGGGTCGAGTTTTTGATGTGAGACTTGTGGGATCTGCAGAATGATGACGTTGCTTTTCATGAATTCAAGTTAATTACTGAAGGTGTTCAGGGTAAAAATTGTTTGACTAATTTCCATGGAATGTACCTTACCCGGGACAAGATGTGCATCATGGTTGAAAAGTGGCAGACCATGATTGAAGACCATGTTGGTGTCAAAACTACTGATGGGTACTTGCTCCATCTCTTTTGTGTTGGTTTTACCAAAAAGTGCAACAACCAGATCCATAAGACCTCTCATGCCCAGCATGAACAGGTCCGTCAAATTCGTAAGACAATGGTGGAAATCACGACCCGAGAAGTGCAGACAAATGACT